AGTAAAAAATAAAGAAGGCATTTCACAGTGAGGTCAGGGTTTAGAAATTCCAGAGAGCTATCCAAGATCTTGGGCTGATTGTTTTCTTTAAAATCTGTTCTGTATTAGAGAGCTTTGGCTCAGTCTAATGAAAGTTAAACTGTCCAAATATTAAAACACATTTATTCAGTATTATTACAGTTCCTCTACTGGGAACTGAGTTACAGATAAGGAATTAAACCAGTAGCTCCTGAACAGGGGTACATATACCACAAACAGTCTACAGTCAAATGGTGTGTGCCTCAACAAAGAGCAAGAAGCTGCTATTCCAAATCACAGTGGTCTCATGATGACTGACTGATGATGATATTTGATACCATCCCTACTAATGGTGATTGTAGGAAGTTTAAGGAAAAAAATTGTAGATTACAATCTTCCCTAGAGCACAGAAGAGGTGATCAGTGAATTTCTTAATATGCAGCAAGACTTAGTATTTTCTAGTTATCTTCTATTGGGCAAAGTTGTGTGGCAAAATGTGCTAATTCTAGCAAAGAGTGGCAATCGTGTAGCAGTTCAATGTAAGCTTAGTGGGCAAGACTGAGCTTTAAGGGCAAAAGCTCCAAATGCAGAGTGGTATTAGAGGGCACTGACCAGTAACATAACATTTCTGCAACTCAACGCAACTTCTCTGTATGCTATTTTGTGTGCAGTCACCTTTGCTGCTTAGGAGAAGCTTACTGTTTTCTCTTTTACTGTTCTGCTGGCCTGTGTAGGAGAGGGAGATGTAAGCTGTCTGCAAGTTACTTCTTATTGAAAGAGCATGGACACTGACAGGTGCAAGTTGCACAAAGACTCCTGTGTTGGAAGCCGTCTTTGGGCCCCGAGAAGATTCAAGAAAGCCACCAAATTCTCTTTCCTGTACACACGAGCGTGGGATTGCAGTATGTCTGATATGCTGCTAAATGCCTATCCTAACTTATTGTTAAGGAGAATTCTGCACAATCTGAAAGATCTCAGGCAGAAACACCAGCACCACTTTGTGTCACATAGTAGGGAATGCAAAGAGTTGCAAGGACTAGATCATACACAGGCAACATTGCATTTCCGCTCTATTCTAAGCATTTTGTGGCCAACTCAGTCCCTTTTTAATGGACTCAGAGGTACGATTTGGCTTAAAATAAAACTAGATAGGTAGGAAGTATGTGCTGGGTATATAACTTTCATGCTGAAGGTAAGGAGACCCTCTTCCAGTTACCTCTTATAGTGGCTTCTTTTCTCATCAACACACTCCAAAACATAAATTACCCAGAACCTTATAATACTGTCTTTGGTGGGATAATACTCACAAAGTCAGGCTTGTAAAAGATCCTATGTGAAAATCACAAATTGTTCAATAAGGAAAATGCAGTGTTACTGTAAAGCTTCAATATCCTAATCCAGCCTCAAGATCTACTCACTCTAGACTAGGGCAGATGGTTCTTGCAAGCCTGTTCTAGCAATTAATACTGTAGATGTTTGTTACTGGGTATAGTCCCCCTCCAGCCATATTAGACCCTATCATGTAAGTGGACTTATTACAATGAAAGATGTCAGAAGGTCAAAGCCAGACTAAGTTGCTTGTACTGCATTAAAGTTAAAAAAAAAAAAAAAAATTTCTAAATAAGCATTGCTTGTCTAGGGTGTCTGAATGAATACAGACCCAAGGTCTAGACAGAAAAAACCAGTATAGTAGTCAGAACACTGGAGAGCAAGGGAGCCTAGGCTGGTTTTAGATCTAACACTACCGTATGATGCTTAGCAGATCACTTTGACTTGTTCCTCAGTTTCATTTTAAAATTTAACAGTACATGGCCAGCTCTCTATAAAGCAGAGAAGATAAAATCCATCAGGGACTATGAACTGCTCAGATGTCATTGTGATGAAAATTGCATTATAAGACAGAATTATTATAAATATGGAGTACCTGTTAGCATGTGTATTTTTAAAAGAGCAAATGCATTACCCTGATTTTTCTCTTGTTCTTAGCATTCTCAAATGATTTGCATCTCTTGACATCATTCTTGGATTGCTATAGTCTGTATAAGCTCTTCCAAAGCAGAAAAGTAATCAAGTTTTGTCATTTAATAAAAGACATTTTAATAGCAGTGAAGCATGAGCTGAAAAGCTAGACCTTCGTGCCTTCTTTGGAGCAGAAGTATTCCAGATCAAGTTCTGCAGGCTGCTTCCTACCCTGTTTGGGAAGCAGTCAACACTATTTACTGTATCCTGCTCTATGTTTGATTTCATATGCAGTTCATAAATAACTGAGGAGAGCTGTCTAATCAGATAACTTCCTTTGCTGTTATTCCTTCTGTTGAAAACTCTATTAAAGTTGCATTCTCTCCCTTTATTTTGCCATAAATTTAAATGAAAATATGTGGAGGTAAAGATGAGTCATTTCTTTATGAGGTCCCTGAAGCAATTAAAATCAACTTCTTGACTTGACCATGCCCCATATACTTAACTCCAGCAGAGAGGTTACAGTATATGGCTGTGGAAAGAAAGACAAGGACAGACCGGGATGTAATAATTTCTCGTCACCAGACATGTTGGTTTAAGATCCGTGGAGTAATTTCTGTTCTTGTTCTCAAACAGGAGATGCTTGAGGCCTCTCTGATCTGACATCTGTGACTAGCTGTCACTGAGGAACTACACACAACAGAACCTGAACGCTATACAGAATACGGAATTACAGAATACAGCTCTTGAGCTCATACCCCACAGTGTATGTATTTCCTCTACCTATGGATGTTACTGCTACGAAGTACACATCTTTCATAATACCAGGCACTTGTAAGTGAAGCTTAAGGAAGAGGGAATTTGACCTCTTGTAAGAAAGCACACAAACATTTTAGCTTCAACCCTGATTACTGGAATAAGAGATGAAGTTAGCATGAAATATTGAATTATTGAATTTCAATATGAAATACGAAATATTGAGTAATCTATTGCATTGTATTGTTTTGACTATGTTTAGAATAACAAGGATGAGAAATCTCACACATATTTCTCAGTGTTAGTTGTGTAAATACTCTGAGTTAATATATCTACAGTCTCAGTTTCCTTCCTCATTGCTTTAAGAGCTTTACCAGAACATAAACTCAGACAAGCACTGTAAGAGAAAAATGGCAGAAAATACATATCACCCTCACAGATATGTTTCTAATAAATCCTGGAGATAGAATTGGTCAACTGATCATATGCTCCAAGACTTAAAATAGTATTAATCATTTCTGGACTTTAGATCATGAAGTTAGCAGTTGGGAAGTAGAAGACACCAAAAGCATAGAGAATTTCTAGATAAAGGAATAGCGTATCTACTCAACTTTGAAATGGTGCTTTTCTTACCTCTACATTCCCTCCCTTCCTCTCCCCTTTTATTGCCAATATTTGAGTTAACTATGCTTGTGTTAGAAAATGGAATAACACGTTTTATGATTAAGGCCTATGATCTTGATACAGAACCTCTATGTTCACAAGTGAAGTATGCGTCTATAGTTGCTTCTGAATGCAGATCAAGTCACCATAAAGCTACACACTACTGTGTCTGTACAAGTAACATCTGCCACTCTGATAACACCTGCAAAATAGTATGTAGAAATGCATGTGACTAGAAAACAAGCCTAACTGGGCAAATGTGCCCTACTGTAAAATAGGTTTTGTATGTGCGGTGGGGAGTGTTTAGTAGGTTGTCCTTTTGTTTTTTTAACTGCAGTGCATGTATTGAAATTCCCAGGCACTCTAATCATGGGTATATAGAAGATTTTAATGAATTTTCATTCTGAAGGCTCTACACGTGGCTCATGCCAAAGTTCTAAACAAAGAAAGATAGCTCATTTACTAAAGATTAATCATAAAAAAAAAAATTTCTTAGGCACAAAGGAAAGGTGTGCTATGTGTTCCGTCTCAGCTCCTCTTATTTCCAATTCACTTTCCACTTTAATGCAGCAAACAGCAACAGCAAGCATGCAGGAGTGACATGGCTTCTCCAAGTTACTGGAGAACAGTTCTTGCATGTTTCTTAGGCACCTGAACAACTACTAAACTTCAGCCTAACAGACCCTTCATTTATATACATTTGGGAGGTTGCAAGATGCTTATTAATCCTGAAAAATCCTATTATTTTCCCTGAACTTTTATTAGTTTGCATTTGAAATAAAATAGGGCTGCCTTTAAATGTTTGAAATCTGTATAAGCCTAAATTGGGTAGGAAGATATTACTCATTACCTATAATTTGAATGACTGCCTACCAGTGAAAACATAGGCACTAGCTGCAATCTTAGGAGTTATCTGAGACTCTATATCAGCTAAAGGTGTATAATGGTTGGAGTCTTTTTATTGCTTGGAATACCTTGTCACTTGACATCATATGATACCCTATTATTGGTGGATAATTAAATCCAGCTGCTGTATTCTTAAACTATTAGATGTAGTTTTTTAATAATCACTGGTTTGTTTAAAACTATTTAGTACAAAACATGTTAATTTGCTTTTTATTAACACACTTTAAAATGGTTTGCCGATATGTATTTTATGTCATGGTTCATGATCAGTATGTAATGAGTATTTAATGAATTAAAACAATGAGGACTGAAATTTCTTCTCCAGGTTCTGGGGTCAGAATTACATGAAGCCCCATGAAACACCTCCACAAACCATTTTGGATTGGTTCATGGAGCTTGCTCCAACACTTTTCATAGAACACATCTTAAATTACCTATATGTAAAATGTTGTAAAAATTAATTACTTAGGAAATCCTAAAAGGGGGAGTGCTAAGCTGAAGCACAGATTTGTTTTATTCATTTTATTATTTTATTTTAGTACTATAGTGACTGAGCATATTTCTTTTCTTTTCTATAGTTCTGGAAATAAAAATCACAAAGCAATCCAACACGTTTTCATCCAGGAGTGTAAACCAAGACTGAATTTCCAAGGCCTGGACATCTTCTCTGATTATCATTCTGTGTTCTTGCGGAAAAGATGTCAAAAAACACAACAGAGAATTCAACTAACCCTCACTCAGCTCTTCTAGGTCTGTTCCTGGGAAGCATTTCACTGACCACTGTTGTCATGAATATATTAGTACTATGTGCTGTGAAAACTGAGAAGAAGCTGCAAACAGTTGGCAATTTATACATTATCAGCCTCTCTATTGCAGATCTTATAGTTGGTGCAGCTGTTATGCCCCTGAATATTGTTTATCTCCTAAGTCCTGTGTGGACTCTAGGCTTACCAGCCTGTTTGTTCTGGCTGTCAATGGATTACGTGGCCAGTACTGCATCCATTTTCAATCTCTTCATATTGTGCATTGACCGTTATCGTTCAGTTCAGCAACCACTGAAATATCTCAAGTATAGAACAAAAATGAGAGCATCGCTAATGATTTTGGGGGTTTGGTTGCTCTCTTTCATGTGGGTCATTCCAATCCTAGGATGGCATGTTTTTGCTAATAATGGGGAAAGGAAAGTAAAGGAAAACAAATGTGAAACTGAATTCTCTGAAGTCACATGGTTTAAAGTGTTGACAGCCATTGTGAATTTTTACCTACCGTCTATCATGATGTTATGGTTCTACTATAAAATATTTAAAACTGTTCGAAAACACTGTCAACACCGAGAGCTCATTAATGGATCATATCGGTCTTTCTCAGAAAAAAGCCCCATATCTCATAGTAAGATGAAGGATGAACAAAGTATTTGCCTCCAAAAGCAAATCGTAGATGAGAACACCCCTCCCAAAGACGAGCAAAGCTCCCTTCAGCCCAAAAATACGGAGGCAGAGCTTCATTTCAGTAAACCTGATAAGTCTTCAAAGGCATTTGTTAGCAAGAGTAATAAGAAAGTCCTTAAATGGAGCTGTTTTCCTCTCACCACTGTCAAGTCTGAGCCAGGTGTGGATAAAGCAGGAAAGAAGGGCATGCATGTAATAGAAGAGAACGAAAAAGAAGAGGAGCCGGGCTCACAAGACAGTGACTTAAGTGATGCATCAGATAGCCATACTTTCACAGAGGAGGCACCCTCTAGAGAGGACTCCAGGCCTAACCCTGAAAGAGCCTGCAGTCCTCAGGAAAAGACTGAGAACAGGGATTTCAGAGGACTGACTTACCTGAGGAAAACCTGGCGAAGTCTGCATACCCATTCCAAAAGGGACTTTCAAGGACTGCATAGGAACAGGGAGAGGAAAGCAGCTAAGCAGTTAGGGGTCATAATGGCAGCCTTTATGCTGTGCTGGATTCCCTATTTTGTACTATTTATGGTAATAGCTTTCCAGGGCCATGAACAATTTTCTAAATTACACATGTTCACTATATGGCTTGGCTATGTGAATTCCACCTTAAATCCATTCCTGTATCCTCTTTGTAACCAGAATTTCAAGAAGACATTCAAAAAGATCCTTCACATTCACTGATATTGGTCTGACTTTTTCTGAGCTAAAAAGCAGCTCAAGAGTTCAATCAAACAAAATGTTCCAGTTCCAAAGACGAACACCATGGGTAAAGTAGAAGACCTTGGAAAAGTGTAATTATATAAAGTGTTAGTAAAACTGGGAAACATGCATTTAACGGCTTTAACACATTTGAAGAAGAACTAATTCAGATCAGGAATCTGAAAAACTCAGGGGCAATCTCAGAACTTTTACACTGTTGTACACATTTTACAATTTGAGATTACCTCTTTCATCATGTAGAACAAAAACTGGAGATACAAACACAGATCTTCAGTGATTATAAATTATTCAGCTCCAGAAAAGGAAGAAACAGAATAACATTTCTGTGATTGGCCAAATATATTTTTCTCTTTCAACTTACTCCATTAGACACGGGAACACATTGCTTGTGAAGTGAGATCTGCAAGTGGAGGTACTTTGCATCGTCAAAGAAAGAAGCTTTAATGGTTTTAAAAAATTCTACCCTATTTATTTATAGCTTCCCTCAAAGATAAACTTTTTTGAAATGTCAAGTAATATTGTAACCTACCGTATCTCTTTGATATCATGCTTGCTTCATTTATACTTGTACATGTTAACTTCACTGAAAAAGAAAAAAAAAGGTATTTTTATGTCCTTGAAATTTTGCTAAGACTTCCCATACTCAACATACTATCACTATCTATTCAAGAAGAGTATGCTGTTGTTTCTAGACTTACAGAATATAGCTGATTATAGACTACACATATTTTCTTCCTTACAGATAACCTACGCTTGCAGTGGCAACGCTGATCCATATATCCTTATTTTGTAGTAGGCAAACTTCCTACTATAATGAGGCAAACTCAAGAGCAACAACTCAAGCTTGCAAAACAGAAAATAAAATACATGCAGTGTGTTTACCCTTTCTATTATTTATATTTAATTGCATTTTATAAATCATGCTGTAAAATATTTCGGGAGAAACACATAATAATAGAATACTCTAGGTTTGAAGGGATCTTAGGAAGACATCTAAGTACAACCTACAGCTCCAAGCTGGGCTGGCTTTGACATTACATCATGTTGCTGAGAGCCTCGTCCACAACTTGAATGACAAGCATCTGTAGAAACAGCTTCATCTGGAAAAGCTGGGAGGCAGCCAGTTTGCAGATGAGGTTCACTTTATCAGCTTTGAGCATTCACTTGCACAGCCATTGATTTAATTGTTTCTGAGAACTAACTCTCAAAAACAGACATGCCCTGTTATACAGCAGGCATCAATCCCCTCTTCCTAAGTGCAGTCAGGTATAGATTTGTTCTATAAAGGAAGAAAAGCATAGTTCCTCGCGGAAAAGTACACAGTGGCATACGTTGCGTGAACTAACTTATCAGGAAGCTTACAACTTTGCAGAACAATTACACCAAAATAAAAAAAAAAAAGACTATACAAATTGGAGAGTGGGGAGGAGAGTTGAGGCAGAGGAGATCTGAGGCCCTATATTAGCTGAGTATCTCAAGACCGCATACTGCCTGGTTTGTGGCACACCAGTAAAGCAGTCATTCCTATTCTGCTATGGAACTGAGAGAAACATTTTGAGCAAACACTGTGGAATATGTTAGTTTTAAGAAGAAATCCCAGAACCAGATAACTTCAACAGTTAAAGTCACATTTGCATGTAATGGTGAGTTTATGTAAGTCTTTTCCATACATTTTAGGAAGGATGATTAGAGAGGCATCCTGAAGGTTCAATGTAAAAAGAATGCCCTCCCATTCATTTTGTTGTGCTGATGAATTTACCGCTTCCTGAATGCTTTCTTGCTTCTGAAATTGCTCAGTTAGCTTAACAACAAAGTTCTGACGGAACCGGAACTCCTTTGACAGAGTACTGTCAAGAGTTTGGTGGGATGAGTTGAAGGGGTGTTCTGTGTAATATCTTTATTATATCAGAAATGAAAAATTGTAGTTTAATTGTTGGAGGAGAAATTCTGATTTCTATGTTCTTAATTAACGATCTTGAGCTACTTAGAGTCCCTCTGTGCCACGTGCGCCTATTTTGTAAAGTGAATATGACAAGACTTAGAGTAACAATGCAACACTTAGGATAATGTTTGCATGATGCTCATAAATTTTGGATATAATACACTAACTAAATGCAAAGTATTATTATCCTCTGTCAGTTTTACTTCTCTGAATGACACATCTGAATGTCAATAGTTGTATTTAAAGTATTCAATATTAAATGAAGCCCTAATATATCTGCATTTTAATAAATGGGAAAAATGTGTTAAAGGATTAAATTTAAATTCAGTCTATTTCAGTGTATCATACAAGGTTCAGAGATTAGTTGACTTTGGTCTCAAGTAGCATACAGGAAAAACTGCAATTAGGGAACTCAAATCTAGGAGGAAAAAAAAGCAAAATACAGAAACAATATAGAAGCAGCAAAATTCATTCTAGAATTCAGACAACTTTTTCGCTGCAGGAGCAGAATCTGGACGAGCAGTAAAATAGCCCTTCTTTTGGATTACAAAGCAGCATCTTTTGAAACATATGCTCTCATCCAGTGGCCTTTCACAAACAATTGCTCAGCTTCACAGCCGTTATGATCTTTTCTCTATTGTGATATGCAAGAGCAATTCTAGCCAAAATGGATGGTAATTTAGGTGATCCCTGAGGAAATAAAAAAGCAGCACACTGTCAGCTACAGTTATTAGAGTACAGTGCTGAAACATGCTCACCCAAGGGCTGCTTAGAGTTATCGAGTAGTCTATCCTCTTGATAATGACAATTGCCTTTTCTGACTTTAAAAAATATTAATACATGAAACAGCAACCTAAACAAAATCACTGAAAATTGGTCTAAAAATTATGATGATTACAACAAAGAACATCTGGTACAATTAAACAACATTTAAACACAGAACAGTCTGACCTAGGCAAATAAAGCTACTTGAATATTTTTTTATCTCCCTTCTTTTTTATCCACAATCTTAGTGTAACTGTTAATAATAAAGACAGCAAAAGTTGTCATAGTGAGCTTCTCTGATGTGATAGCTATAATAGATAATAATAAAATAGGAAAATGGGATACTGACTATTTTAAAGTTCCAATTAGCAAGGTACCTAACAGGATTTATCAGTTTATTTTACTGAATATGGCTCTGCATGTAAGAGAAGCGGAGGACAGCGAATTAGGGTAAGGAATGGAGAAGCCTACTACCACGTGGGGCCAAGCCTCAAGAGAATAACCCAGGTGTGGTTTCCTGTAAAATATTTTCAATGTATTCCAGTTAATAAACAAGGTCATAGGACACATAGCTTTAAGAGAACAAAACAAATTTCTTGGAATTTCTTGGACTGGAGTTCTACTTTGATTAAGGTGTGGTGAGAGCAACCAGCCTCGCTTTTAGGAGACAGAAAAATAGATTCTCACTGGTTTTTCTGTGTCAATGGTGACATCTAGTGGGTAATGAGAATAATTCTGGGCTTCTGCATCAAATACTGTGTATCAAAGGAGGGGTATTAAAACACTGTTTATTAAAGGAGGGGTGCAATTAGCAAGTGGATCCTGCCATCTAGTACTTGTTTCTTTTCCCGTATTATTTTCAGGAAATGTGGCACTCAATAAAGGAAACATTAGTGTAGGCGCACATTCTGGCTTCGTTCCATCATCTAAAAGGACTCCATTACATTCTCTGTGAGACCACTTTGTGATAGCACAATAAATGAAAATGACTGAAAAATTCAATTTAAAATGTATTTCTAATCCTAAGATATTAATACAGAAGCACTGTAGACACTTCTGAATAGTTCTACAGCAGGTCCCAAATTCTGCAGATTGCTTTATCTTTCCACTGCGATCAGGGAGGCTAAAGGACTATCCTCATAACTTAGCTGGGATGGCTTAAGTTCCTGAAGGCGAGATGTAAGAATACACCTGAAATTTCAGTGTATGCATTGCCTCCACCAGAATGAGAATTAGTTCATTTGGAAATGCCAAGTTAAGTTTAAATACTATGCAAACATATTCACTTTTTTTTATTCATTAAGTACAATGACAAAATTATTAATTTTCATCAAATTATTTGTCTATTGAAGAACTAGACAGTAAAAAGAACAATTAATGTTAACACTGCGTGAGAAATAGCTCATGAAAATACTCCTGATATCAAATTCCAAATTATCTTTAAAAATGATACATACCTGGAACACTGGAATAAATAATTTCTACACGGTCATCTTACAGTCTAAAATAGAAATACAAAAACATCAAATGTGAGATGTACACTCTGTACATGCACAGACACATAAGCACACATACCAGGCTACTCCAAAATTGCCTTTTGAGATCTCCACCAGTTAAAAAGTGTAAGAGTTCCTACTGAAAAAGATACACATTTGTGTATGCTAATGGTTAAAATCATCTTGATGTCTGGTATGTCTAACAATCTTTCAATTTTTAACAATATTTATATCCCTTATCATTTTGTTTTGTCTACCAAGATACCTTGTGTTTAAACTCTGATAGGTTTCAACTAAAATATGCCTTAAATACACAGCACCCATTGCTATACATTGGCACTATGTAATTAAAATGAATGCCTACTGTAATTAAATTGAATGCCTTGAGTAAAATCAAATGCCTTTTGTTTTGATCAGACATAATTTAGTCTTCAAAACCAACACAGTCAGACCTGGGAACTGAACTCACGTCTCCTACCTGGCAATCTAATTTCCTCCCCAGCAGAAATGAATAATCCCTCAACTCAGTTCTTTTGGGGGGGTAACAACTGTTTCTCTGTATTGCATCAAGGTGTTTATAGGAGAGGCACCCGCCTGTGCCAGAGAAATTACTGACAATGCTCACAGAAGTCTATCAAAATGGCAACTGCAAGATGATACCTTTTTCAGCGTACTCCTACTTTCTTCCACTACTGATTTGAGTATTCATTGCTACAACAGACTTCTAATTTTGCAGTGTCCCAGCCCTGCAGCAGTAA